CTGATTTAAAATCTAAAATCTGGGTGATAATTCCTTTTCTGCTATGGAGAACTGTGCCCTTTAATGTCTTTGGACATCTGGTATTTTCTTTCCCTTTTCTTTCATAGCTGCCAACTTTTACTTTCTTTTTCACCAATAAGCTTTTAGACTCCATTAGTACCTAGGTAGATAGAAGACTGTCTTTTTACATCAGATTTTTTTTAAGGTATTCAACAAGCTCACAAGTAAATTTAGTGTTGTACCATGAATCTACTTCCACCATAGCCATGTTCTTTTACATTATGTATAGTATACTTAACTTGTTTACTTGTGAGTTAATACTATTTTCAGTGTTTTCCTGGAGTTTAATATCTGGTCTTATTTGTACTTATTGTTGCCATATTTTCTTCCAGGATCAGTAGGGATTCTTTAAGGGCTAAAAGGGGGTATTTGGATTTTACATGGTAGACCACTTGATCTTAATTCCAACATTTGTGTAGGACTGCATGATATCTTAAAAATTTGAGCACAAGAATGAGTTTATAGGATTCACTCTCAGTATAGAAGTATTAGACCTGTAACTAAACTAAATACCTATGGAAGAATAATTAGTTACTTATTCACCTTCTAGTCATCATTATTCATTATTCTCCAATATCGAGAAACAATTTTAGTGAAATTAAACTTAGGTGACTCAAAATTATATAAGTACATTCAGTTTTAGTTTTGAGCACTGGTTGCTTAAAACCTGCCAGGAGAGGGTCATTGGTTATGAGAGTGGGTCTAAACCCTGGTTGAGTCTTATTTTCATCTGGGGATCTCAGAAAAAAAAAATACACTGAGCTAGACACTTAGGTCTGACTCAGACTGATTGAATTGGTCTAAGTGGGGCCTCACCATTTGGTGTTTTTAAAAGGCTCCTTTAGTGATTTGGAGGTTGAGAACTACTGAGTGGCAGGAAAAGAGACTGAGGACATTACTGACTACGTTTTTACTTGTGCTAACCAGGGTGGCTAAACTCTCTCCTTATGGTCTCAGTCATACATGCCCCCCCCTCATTTATACTAAACTGCAAATTAAAGCAACAGAGACCAGAAAGAGCATAGCTCTGAGTCAAAAGAATTTGATTTTAAGTCTTGTCTGTTTCTTACTAAAAATATGACCTTGAAAAAAATTCTTAAGTTTATAGAATTTTAGTTTCTCCATAGGTCAAATAGGTATGATGTACCTTCCTTGTAAGTGAAGATAACATTACTAATAAGATATGAAAACATTTAGTACTATACCCAGTTCATGATAGCTCAGCGTATTCTTTCCTTTTCTTTCTCTCTCTCTGATTTCATCTTAGATAAAATGGAGGTTTGGATAGCATTTAAATACTTCTTATGTTTCTTAATCCGGTGAATCTTCTTCTCTCCCTTAGCAATGAAGTTAGAGGAGGATAACTGGCATGTATTTTCTACAGTTCATGTCCTAAAAAGGAGATTATTGGCATAGAGTTGTCAGAGTATGAATTTGGAGTTTCTTTCAGTGTTCTGTCCATATACTCTCACTTGACTGTTTTCAACCTGATTGTTGGGGAGGTGTGTCAAGTTGGGAATGTGGTTGGAGTTGTGGAAACAAAGTTTTGTGATGGAGTGATGTCATCACAGGTGGGCATCAATTTCATGACCTTTACTGCCAGTCACTTTGTTCAACCATATGGTCATCCAGCCTACTTTATCCTCGTAATAATGGATGTAGCACCTGGAATTAGTATTATAGCACCTATCTGAAACAATATGCTTCAAAGGATCACAGGTGAAATCAGAAGCATCTTTCAGTGATTACCTGGCTAATTTGTTTTTTGTCAAGAGAATAAAATGTTGCTGCATCTCCATCTATGCCCAGGGAATCAGAGAGGAACCCATTCCAATATAACTTTATATCAGGAGTAGTTCATTATTTATGGCAATGACCCAACAAAGCAGCTGCTTTATTTTGTAGTGACATATACCTGTCCTTTGCCCATTTATCCAGCTTCAAATGAAGTTCAGGCAAATGAGAGGTGTCCCAAGCTGTTATTGTGACCTAGTTTGGCTACCAGAGCCAAGAAGTAGGGGATTCACCCAAGTTGCCCTTGAAGGAGTTGCTCAAGTCCTCTGTGCAAAAGCCATGTAGATGATGACAATATGAACCTCTGCTGTTTCCAGTGTATTGCAAAGCCTAATAAAGCACAATTTAAGCATTAAGAACAAGAACTTAAGAACCACAACAAGCTAAATTCCAATTTTTGTTTCATCACTCTGGTCAAAAGACATAGTCACAACAAATTCAGTTTAAGAATCTTTTTTTTTTTTATTCATATGTGCATACAAGGCTTGGGTCATTTCTCCCCCCTGCCCCCACCCCCTCCCTTACCACCCACTCCACCCCCTCCCTCTCACCCTTACCCCCTCAATACCCGGCAGAAACTATTTTGCCCTTATCTCTAATTTTGTTGAAGAGAGAGTATAAGCAATAATAGGAAGGAACAAGGGTTTTTGCTGGTTGAGATAAGGATAGCTATACAGGGAGTTGACTCACATTAATTTCCTGTGCGTGTGTGTTACCTTCTAGGTTAATTCTTTTTGATCTAACCTTTTCTCTAGTTCCTGGTCCCCTTTTCCTATTGGCCTCAGTTGCTTTTAAGGTATCTGCTTTAGTTTCTCTGCATTAAGGGCAACAAATGCTAGCTAATTTTTTAGGTGTCTTACCTATCCTCACCCTCCCTTGTGTGCTCTCGCTTTTATCATGTGCTCAAAGTCCAATCCCCTTGTTGTGTTTGCCCTTGATCTAATGTCCACATATGAGGGAGAACATATGATTTTTGGTCTTTTGGGCCAGGCTAACCTCACTCAGAATGATGTTCTCCAATTCCATCCATTTACCAGCGAATGATAACATTTCGTTCTTCTTCATGGCTGCATAAAATTCCATTGTGTATAGATACCACATTTTCTTAATCCATTCATCAGTGGTGGGGCATCTTGGCTGTTTCCATAACTTGGCTATTGTGAATAGTGCCGCAATAAACATGGGTGTGCAGGTGCCTCTGGAGTAACCTGTGTCACAGTCTTTTGGGTATATCCCCAAGAGTGGTATTGCTGGATCAAATGGTAGATCAATGTCTAGCTTTTTAAGTAGCCTCCAAATTTTTTCCAGAGTGGTTGTACTAGTTTACATTCCCACCAACAGTGTAAGAGGGTTCCTTTTTCCCCGAATCCTCGCCAACACCTGTTGTTGGTGGTGTTGCTAATGATGGCTATTCTAACAGGGGTGAGGTGGAATCTTAGCATGGTTTTAATTTGCATTTCCTTTATTGCTAGAGATGGTGAGCATTTTTTCATGTGTTTTTTGGCCATTTGAATTTCTTCTTTTGAGAAAGTTCTGTTTAGTTCACTTGCCCATTTCTTTATTGGTTCATTAGTTTTGGGAGAATTTAGTTTTTTGAGTTCCCTATATATTCTGGTTATCAGTCCTTTGATGTGTAGCTGGCAAATATTTTCTCCCACTCTGTGGGTGTTCTCTTCAGTTTAGAGACCATTTCTTTTGATGAACAGAAGGTTTTTAGTTTTATGAGGTCCCATTTATCTATGCTATCTCTTAGTTGCTGTGCTGCTGGGGTTTCGTTGAGAAAGTTCTTACCTATACCTACTAACTCCAGAGTATTTCCTACTCTTTCCTGTATCAACTTTAGAGTTTGTGGTCTGGTATTAAGATCCTTGATCTATTTTGAGTTAATCTTGGTATAGAGTGTCAGTTTAAGAATCTTCATTGGCTTTTTTTTTCCTTTCTGGAATTCTGGAATTGGGTATGCCTTTAGAACCACAGCAAGTCAGGCAACTGGCGCTGCAGTGTCGTCAGACAACATTTATGGGCACAAGATGAAGTGATGTATAGGCAGTTTAATTGATTACAGCAGGGAGATTTGCCTTATTTGAATCAGCTAGCCACCTGTGGTTGAAGCTCAGCTGCTGGGATTGACTTGATTAAGACTCAGGGATTTGTTACAAGAGTACACTCCTAAATTAGGCTTTCAGTTACTTTATATACCAAGTTAGGTTGTAGTTCATTACATAAGGACGTAAGCTCAGATGCATACTCAGGCCTAAATTGAATTTAATATTACTTATAGCTAGATCAATAAACTTTTTCTGTAAAAGGCCAGACATTAATTATTTTAGGATTTGCAGGCCATGTGACCTCAGCTACTTAACTCTGCAGGTGCTGACAAAATTGTCTGCAGATAATACATAAACAAATGGGAAGAACTGTGTTCCAATAAAACTTTATTGACAAAAATAGACAGTGGGCCAGATGTTGGACTACTGTTGTAATTCATCCACCCTGACCTATAGGACCTCATACTAATTAATTATCCTAATTTTCTCAGATTGTATTGAGGATAAAAAGATATAGTAATTTGTATAATAAAACACCATGTGGTTAGCATATAGTAAGCACTTGAAAAGAGTAGTGACTTGCTGGGGTGGTGACACACACCTATGATCACAGCACTTAGGAGGCTCAGGCGGGAGAATGATGGGTTCAAAGTTAGCCTGGGCTACATAGCGATTCCTGGTCTCAACAACAACAGCAGAAAAGGTGAACATGATATTGTCTGCTATTTAAAAAAAAAAATGCTGAAGGCCAGGTGTGCTGGAGCAGACCTGCAATTCCAGCACTTGAGAGGGTGAAGGTAGGAGGATAACTAAGTTTGAGGCCAGCCTGAGCTAAGTACTGTCACCCTGTCTCAGACAAACAAAATAAAGACCCACAACAACAACAAAAAAAGTAGTTACTTTTATTTTATCAAAAATACTGTATATTATGTAACTTAAGCTGCTATTGATTTTTAGATACATCTGGATTTCAGCAATGTTAAAATATGGTTAACAGTGATTGTAATTAATTATAGTAACAACATTATATTTAAATTATCAGTGGTAGTTTAAAGCTTCTTCTGTAACATATCTTTGTGATTTTTTTTTTCTTGTCAGAGACACCTGCCATGAACTCTTGGGACATGTTCCACTGCTTGCAGATCCTAAGTTTGCTCAATTTTCACAAGAAATAGGTCTGGCATCTCTGGGAGCATCAGATGAAGATGTTCAGAAACTAGCCACAGTGAGTTAATTTTTAACTTAGAAAAAAGTACTCTATGTCCACTTGTAAGGTAAAGAAAGCTAGAGTCACTGACTATGAATGATAGGTAAATGTTCTGGAGAAAGCAGGATTTTTAACCCTTCCCATGTTGTATCTTTGGAAGCGCAATGAATTATTGGCTAACTGGCCACCAAAATGTTTGTATCTTATCCATATTATTCAGGAGTTAGCTAGACACAAAGGGCTAGTCAATATTTCAGGTTTGCGAGTCATATAAGTGCTGTCACAGCTATTAAGCTCAGCCACTGCAGTACAAAGGCAGTCAATACATAAATGGATGAGTGTGCTTGTTTTCTCATAAAACTTTATTTACAAAAGCTGGCAGTAGACCAGATTTGTCCTATGTGCCATAGTTTGCTAAATCCCATAGAAACACTAGGAGAAAAGGTGTATATTTATGGCAAAGTAAGATTTGTACCTGGGATTGTCCCTGAATAGTTGATATGGTTATGGTCAGACATATTTTTTGTGTGTGTGAGTCAATTTTATTTTATTTTATTTATTATTTATTTATTTATTTTATTCATATGTGTATTCAATGTTTGGGTCATTTCTCTCCTCTTCCCCCCAACTCTCTCCCTCTCCCACCCTACCCCCTCGCTACCAGGCAGAAACTATTTTGCCCTTATCTCTAATTTTGTTGAAGAGAGAGTATAAGCAATAATAGGAAGGAACAAGGGTTTTTGCTAGTTGAGATAAGAATAGCTATACAGGGAATTGACTTGCATTGCTTTCCTGTGCATGTGTGTTACCTTCTAAATTAATTCTTCTCAAACTAACCTTTTCTCTAGTTCCTGGTTCCCTTCTCCTATTGGCCTCTGTTGCTTTAAAGTATCTGCATTAGCAATTCCCATCAAAATCCCAATGACATTCATTAAAGAGATTGAAAAATCTACCGTTAAATTTATATGGAAACACAAGAGGCCATGAATAGCCAAGGCAATACTCAGTCAAAAGAACAATGCTGGAGGTATTACGATACCCGACTTTAAACTATATTACAAAACTATAACAATAAAAACAGCATGGTACTGTCACAAAAACAGACATGAAGACCCGTGGAACAGAATAGAGGTCCCGGATATGAAGCCACACAACTATAACCAACTTGTCTTTGACAAAGGCGCTAAAAATATACGATGGAGAAAAGACAGCCTCTTCAACAAAAACTGCTGGGAAAATTGGTTAGCAGTCTGCAAAAAACTGAAACTAGATCCATGTTTATCACCCTATACCATTATTAACTCAAAATGGATCAAGGACCTTAATATCAGACCCCAAACTCTAAAGTTGGTACAGGAAAGCATAGGAAATACTCTGGAATTAATAGGTATAGGCAAGAACCTTCTCAATGGAACCCCAGCAGCTCAGCAACTAAGAGGTAGCATAGATAAATGGGACTTCATAAAACTAAAAACTTCTGCTAAACAAAAGAAATGATCTCTAAACTGAAGAGACCACCCACAGAGTGGGAGAAAATATTTGCCAGCTACACATCAGACAAAGGACTGATAACCAGAATATATAGGGAACTCAAAAAACTAAATTCTCCCAAAACTAATGAACCAATAAAGAAATGGGCAAGTGAACTAAACAGAACTTTCTCAAAAGAAATTCAAATGGCCAAAAAACACATGAAAAAATGCTCACCATCTCTAGCAATAAAGGAAATGCAAATTAAAACCACACTAAGATTCTACCTCACCCCTGTTAGAATAGCCATCATCAAAAACACCACCAACAGCAGGTGTTGGTGAGGATGGGAGGGAGAAAGGAACCCTCTTACACTGCTGGTGGGAATGTAAACTAGTACAACCACTCTGGAAAACAATTTGGAGGCTACCTAAAAAGCTAAACATTGATCTACCATATGATCCAGCAATACCACTCTTGGGGTTATACCCAAAAAAATGTGACACAAGTAACTCCAGAGGCATCTGCACACCCATGTTTATTGCAGCACTATTCACAATAGCCAAGTTATGGAAACAGCCAAGATGCCCCACTACTGATGAATAGATTAAGAAAATGTGGTATTTATACACAATGGAATTTTATGCAGCCATGAAGAAGAATGAAATGTTATCATTTGCAGGTAAATGGATGGAATTGGAGAACATCATTCTGAGTGAGGTTAGCCTGGCCCAAAAGACCAAAAATCGTATGTTCTCCCTCATATGTAGACATTAGATCAAGGGTAAACACAACAAGCGAATTGGACTTTGATCACATGATAAAGCGAGAGCACACATGGAAGGTATGAGGATAGGTAAGACACCCAAAAACCTAGATAGCATTTGTTGCCCTCAACACAGAGAAACTAAAGCAGATACTTTAAAGCAACTGAGGCCAATAGGAGAAGGGGATCAGGAACTACAGAAAAGGTTAGTTTGAGAAGAATTAACTTAGAAGGTGACACACATGTACAGGAAATCAGTGCATGTCAACTCCCTGTATAGCTATCCTTATCTCAACTAGCAAAAACCCTTGTTCCTTCCTATTATTGCTTATACTCTCTCTTCAACAAAATTAGAGATAAAGGCAGAATAGTTTCTGCTGGGTAGCGAGGGGTAAGGGGGGGGTAAGGAAGGGGACAGGGGTAAGGGGGGAGAAATGACCCAAACATTGCATGTACATATGAATAAAATAAAAATTAAAAAAAAATAAAGTATCTACATTAGTTTCTCTGTCAGACATAATTTGAGTCAGTAGTAAGAAACTCAGTCTCAATAATTATTCTAAGTATGTAGTTGGGAAAAGATCCTATGGATGCTATGATATCAGCAAAGTTCTTTTCCAAACAAACAATCAAAGTGGATGCTATCTTTAAGAAGCTGAAGGGCCATATCAAGCAAACTCATATGCTTTACTTTGTCTTCACTTCAGAGTCCAGGAAAAGAAAGAGGTTTAGCAAATTCATTTACCTACAGGGACCAGACAGTCTAAAGGAGCAACGCTACAAGAAGGAAAAAGGAGATGTTAGATTTTAGATATTCGCCATAGGTGTTCATCAGTGACATATTAGATGAGCAGTAATATTCCCCATTCTCACCAAGAAATATGTTTTCTCCTAGATTTCTTCAAATTCACAGGTATTTCAGCATATATTCTATTTCCTACTTTTGATAAAGATATTGGTTCTGTGAAGCATTTCTCTCCTAAAAGAGAAATAACAGTACAGATACCATCTAAATGGTAGTGACCCTTGGTGTCAGCCTGGGAATGTATGGGGAGTGGGACTGTGATGAACTAGGGGAAGCATGTCTTACTTACATACAGAGGCTAGCTGGTTCTAGAGAACCCTCCAATGGTTGCCAGGGCTTTGTGTTGCCAGATCTCCAAAATTTTTGAGACAGCATGGAAATTTACATTTCTGAATGAAAAAAAATATATAGTGTGTATATATGTGTGTATATATATATATATATACATATATATATATATATATATGTTTATATATACACACCATATATATATAATTTTGGCTTGTTAAAAAGATCCCACTACTACGAGCTGAAGAAAATATATTTGTAGGCTGAATACGAATCATGACTTAAAATGGGTAACCTCTGCTGTAGAGATTGTATCTCATGAGTGTAGATTACTTATTACTATATAATAAATAATCCCAAAACTTAGTGGTTTAAAACAACACATATTTATTATCTTCACAGTTTCTATGGTCAGTCAGCAGCTTAGCTGACTGATTTTGGCTCTGGGACTCTTAACACTTTGATGTAAAGATGTTAACTGGACCTGTACTTGTCCGTAGGCTTGTTAGTCTGCTTCTATGATGGTTCACTCATGTCATTAGCCAGAGGTCTCAGCTCCTCACTATGTGGGCCTCTCCATAGACTGTCTGAACTTTTGGCTTCTTCCACAGCAAGTGATGTGTGTGTGTGGTGGGGGAGGGGAGGGAGAAAGATGGGGTGGGGGGAGGGAGGCAGAGACAGAAGAACAAGAAGGAGGAGGAAGAAGAAGGAGAAGAGAAGAGAGAGAAACTGGTGGGGAGAGGAGAATGGAGGGGGAGAAGAGAGGGCAGAGGAGGGATCTGTTGTGCTTTTTGTGACTTGATCAAATTCTAATCATGTTGGCCATATTCTTTTTATTAAAGGGGACTCACTCCAGCCCATACGAAGGGGAGAGGAATAAGTTTCCATCTTTTAGTAAAAGGAGTGTCAAGGTATTTGTGTCCAAAATTTAACCTACTACACTGGGAGTCCTGCTATTTAGTTTTTAAGCCTTTTCTCTGGCTTTGAACTTCATGTTGTAACCATTTCTGTACCTTTCAAATTTATCTTGAAATCCTCAGTTCCAGTCTCTAACCCTCTACAGTAAATACTCTTGGTCGAGAATGAATATGTTACTTAGTTGTCTGACTCTGAACTGCCATAACCTGGGATTCAACTCTACCAGGCTCTGTGGCGCTCTCTCTCTCTCTCTCTCTCTCTCTCTCTCTCTCACACACTTTTTCTCTCTCCTCCTCCCTCCCCCTTTCTCTGTTTATATATGTGTGTGTGTGTGTGTCCATCCCCAACAAGAAAAGAAAAAGAATACAGTTTATGGATGTGAACATAGGTGGATTCTTGTGTGGGCTTCCTCCCCTCTCCCTTCCCTTCCTCTCCCTGCCTCCTCTCTTCCTCCTCCCTTTCCCTTCCCTTTTCCCTCCCTTCCTTTCCTTTCTCTCTTCCCCTCTCCCTTCTCTTCCCTTCTTGCCTTCTGTTTTTCTTCCCCTTCCCTTTTTCCTCCCTTCCTTTCTCCTCTCCCTTCCATTCTCCCCTCCCTTCCCTCTCCCTTCCCCTTCCCTTTCCCACTCCCATCCACTACATCCCCCCTTTTTCCCCTCCCCTCCTCTCCCCTTCCCTTCCCTTCCCTTCCCTTCTCTTTTCCTGCACCTTCCATCTCCTCCTTCTCCTCTTTCTCCATCTTCTTTTAAATGAGTCCCTGGTTGTAGCTCAAGA